TGAATTTGACACAGCTGAAGCACTTGTTTACAGTTGGTTTAGCATTGATAATTTATTTTGCTAATATGTTTTTCATTTAGCTACTGTTTTGATTTTTTCACCATGTATGTACAATCTAAATAGCTAATATACTTTTTTAAAAGCCAATAAGAACATTGATAGAATTCTTCTACATAAGTACAATACTATGTCTTTGATGATAAAATACTATGTCTTTGATGATAATATACTATGCCTAAGTGCTAGAACATTGTGTTCATTGGCGAGCCAGCGCAGCGAGACACGGTTCACGGCTTGAACCATATAGGATTGCGTTGGCGAGCGTTAGCGAGCAGGGGCGGAGCCTCCTAGTATTGTTTAATATCACAAGTGAAGAAACATGTTTATTCTACCATCAACTATGTATATCTACGCTTCATTATATTCAAATGACATATATGTAGGGATAATTTTATTATTAATTTCCATTTTGATGTATTGTATACATTTGATCATTAATCACAGCAACGTGTGAACAGGTACAGCTAGTTATATAATAAAAACCACACTATATAAATAATAAGTTATATATTTACATTTGAACTAAGCGGAAATTTTGACTTAACATCCCCCCCCCCCTATAATTCTAAAATAAAATTGTTTAATTTTTTAGGTTGTCATTTTTTACAATAATTGACACAATAAAGAACATAATTTAAATATATTCAAATTACTTCCTTCAATAGATTTACAAATTTTTTCTTCCACTAAAATTAAACGGAGAAATACCTACGTAACTTTATTCTTTTAGTATTTGAAATTTTATTTAGCAAAACACCTAAAAACAAAACTCAAACGCAAGGTAGAAATTTTTCCAGGGAATGAAACCAGGAAAGCAACTAATATCATGAAAATTGCTAATATTTTTTTTTTATAATGTTAAAATGACTTTTATGGGCACATCAGAAATTTTCATCAATTCGATAATTATTTAAAGGTGTTATGTTCTATTAAACTAACAATATTTGCAAAAACTTTACATAACATTTTAATTTCAAAACTGTCAGTAAATATTATGTTTTATCTAAATTAAATTTGCACAAACATATAATTGCATACAAGAATGAGACGAAAAAATAATAATTTTTTTACATTATCTTTCAAAAGTTGCCTTTAATATTAATGATCTAAATTTGACTACAATCAATTACTCTTTTGAGAAAGTTACTATAACAAAATAGATTTTTGATTAAGACAATTCCGTTCCACATTTTTCTCTGACTATATAGTATGCGTTATGACATAAATAGGTTTAAAAAAAAAGCAGGTGTAACATGAAAACATTTTAAGCAGAGCTTTTCAGAAAATAAAATTTAAAAAATTAAGCAGATGCTGGAGTCCAAGTTCCTGGTATAGAAGAATTAGCCTTATAAAAACATATATTATGCATTTAAAAAAGTTGCTTTCGCAAAGAACCTTATATATAAAAATTTAAACAAGATTCTTCTCAATGTTGATTTAAATTTTCTGTTTTTACAATAATGTAAATAAATGTTCAGCTAAATTTTAAATATTAATATTTACGAAGAATATGCAAACCTTTCAGATGAAAGTTTAAGCATTATTCTTTTCTACATTGATTGAGAATTTTCATTAAAATGTAAATGTTATTCAGCTTAAAGTCAAAGAAATTTTTTACAATTGTATTATTTTAAACGTGATAAAAATAAAAAAGCAAGTCTTTTGTCTCAAATTTCAAATGAATAATCATGTGAAAATGTTCTATACTTAAATGTTATTCAGCTTAAAGTCAAAGAAATGTTTACAATTAGAATTATTTGACAATTATATTATTCTAAACATGATAAAAATAAAAAAGCAAACTTTTTATCTAACATTTCAAATAAATAATCATGAGAAAATTTCTGAAATTAAAATAATAAAAATGCTTGCAATTTTGAGATAAACTGTAAAATCAGCATTAAAAGAAAATTGCTTCCGATATCATGCCGTCTGATTAAAATAACCAAAATTTAAATATATTCAACTGTTTTCATGACACTTAAGCACTCATAAAGATTTGCTAATGTTACATTTTATCAATACAAATATCATACCTGACAAGTCAAAATTTTAAAATATTGAAGATTTATTACTAAGTCGTAGAATAAATTACACACTACAGTAATGACGAAAAAAAATCTAAGATAAACATAACTATTTCATAGCATAATAATTTTATTTAATAACAAAACACNGTAAATTGGGTAGCAATAAAGGTTTATATATTTGGCGATAGTCCAGAAAACCGCCAAAAAAAGTCGCCAGCGCAAATGAATATTTTAAGATAACCCATTGACTAATTCAAAAACTTAATGCTTAATTTTACTAGGTTGCTAGGCAACCTAGTAAAAGAACTCCGAATGTAAAAAAAAATGAAATAATGTAAAAAAGAAATTTTTTACAATTGTATTGTTTTAAACGTGATAAAAAATAAAAAAGCAAGTCTTTTGTCTCAAATTTCAAATGAATAATCATGTGAAAATTTTCTATATTTAAATGTTATTCAGCTTAAAGTCAAAGAAATGTTTACAATTAGAATTATTTGACAATTATATTATTCTAAACATGATAAAAATAAAAAAGCAAACTTTTCACCTAACATTTCAAATGAATAATCATGAGAAAATTTTTGAAATTAAAATAATAAAAATGCTTACAATTTTGAGACAAACTTTAAAATCAGCATTAAAAGAAAATTGCTTCCGATATCGTGCCGTCTGATTAAAATAACCAAAATTTAAATATATTCAACTGTTTTCATGACATTTAAGCACTCATAAAGATTTGTTAATGTTACATTTTATCAATACAAATATCATACCTGACAAATCAAAATTTTAAAATATTGAGGATTTATTACTAAGTCGTATAAAAAATTACACACTACAGTAATGACGAAAAAAAATCTAAGTTAAACATAACTATTTCACAGCATAATAATTTTATTTAAAAACAAAACACACTATAAAATAAACTTCATCCAATTGTAAATGCAATACGTTACCTTCATTGCTTAAAATTAACGTCGATAACCTTTTGATGAAACACAAATTAAAAGTACCTAATTGTTATAAAATGAAATAACTTTTTTTTTTCATGACTTTAGAAATATCTGATACAGTTTCAGTTTATTCATCCAATTGTAAGTCTTTATTAACTTGAAATTATATTTTCAAGCAGTAATCAAAAGCTTTTATGAAATGTTCAGTAACATGTGTATACGAAATAAATATAATATTGTTTGTACGAAAAGTCACATGAGGACTTTTCGCTATGGCAGATTTATAGTGGTCCTTGCTGAATATACACACTGTATACATTCACTATTCACTGTAAGGATCGAACTTAGAACTACCAGCTGTCCATCATAGTGTGCGGTTTCATAGTGTGTGTAGTATCCAACTGTTCTTCTCAAATAGTGAATTAGATCAGAGAAGAAGTTTCTTTTGAAATCAATTTCTTCATAGTAGATTTTCTTGAAGATGAAGAGCTATATCTGAAATTGTAAAAGAAAATTAAATTTACAATGGAAAAACTAAATTTAAAATTATTAAACAACGAATATTTAAACTTAAATTATTTAATTTGAACATGTTTTTAAAAAATTGTAACATCTTTTACAATGAAATTCAATGAATAAATTGCGGTATCGATACTTGCATCAAAAAATCTTGGTAGAGCCACACGAAAAGCAAAANTTCTTTAAGTGCAGGATTTACTGAAACTATTAGTAATTGTATATCTTTCAAAGTCATGTTGGTATTTTAGAAATTGCTCCCATTAAAGAATCAGTTTCCTTAAATTTAGAGGCAATTCAGACCTTAATTTTTATATTTTGGGCTTCCAGCTTTGTAATTGATACTCTCGTGTATAATAATGAAGGCTCATTAGCTTAAAGATAGTGAAAAAAATAATTGCAAGGATGTCTTACAAAATGTAATTGTTTCCAAATAGTTTAAAATTTATGTGACCGTGTGTGCTAGATCTATAATGCATAAAGTTTTGTGTGAAACTAGTTTTTTTTTTAAATTTAGCTTTCTTTATTAAACTGGTTGTCTCCTAAACTAATACAAAAAGTACAATAAGTGCTACTTGCCA